ACGGAAAAAGAAGTCATTGAGTGGCACTAGAAATCGCTGTCAATATTACACATATGACGATAAGAATAAAGATAATTATAATGATTTTAAAGATTTTTTTGATTGGACACTGACTAGTGTCGTATGTCTAGTCCTTTGTTTATTGCAGACTGAATTCTATCACATCAGTCAAGGTTGCAATGTAGCCACCATGCCACTAGGTGGTTCGCCATCACGGTGAACTCAGAGTTTTTGTTATTAGATAGTTGGAAGCAATTGGTCACAGACAGCCCTACCTGACCTAAGTTTCGTGCTAGTTGGCTATCAATCACCAGTCATCAGGAAGACGTATCTGCAACCTTGAAGGAAAAACTCATGTCCCTTCTGAGATTCAGTCTTCATCGAAGGTAGGACTAGATTTATTTCACTAGTTACTGACTAGTGTCCAATCAAAAGTTTCGAATACTGTCCTACAGGAGGTGAATCGCGAGCCCGAATAGCTCAGTGATAGTAACATCTCTGATAGCAACACTGGGTGACATGGATTTGAATCTCCTAAGGGACATGAGTTCCTTCAATATAGCTGATATGTCTTGTTGACTGGTGCGTGCCGACAAGCAGGAAACTTAGGTCAAGCAAGGCTTCCTGTCGTCGATTGCCTCCAACTATCTAAAAGCAACTTTTAAAGATTATTAAATAAGTGAACTGGTATAAAGATTTCAAAATTGGAGGTCAGGTGTTGTCTAGAGAATTAACAGTAGGATGATAACAGTAAAGATGGCGAAGATGAAGCGAAGTGGAAAGAATTCAAGTAGAAAAATTAAATAAATAAAATGACATAACTATGACCAAGGTGTAAAGAAAGGCGTTCAATAAAACATTTTTGAACACATAATTTAGGTTTCTGTGCATGTAGAGCTAGAGCTTCGGCTGGTTATGCATAAGTGGAGTAAACGTAAGCTTTCCGAGTGATTGGATTTGGTCCTGTAAATAACTTTGAAGGATAAATCACATGTGGTGGGCTGAATGACTTGACTCCAGAAAGGTGTCCGTCCACAAATTGAAGATTTTGTCGTCCTATGCTCACCTTTCATCAATCAAATCTGGGGTAGTGTTCAGCTACGCGTTTACGGAGAACACGCTTACAGCGTTCAATGTAATCAGCTCCACACGAGCATGTGAATGAGTATATGTAGTCATGATAACACTGTGAGCAGGACCTACGAGGGGAGCCTATTGATTAATCAGTGCCATGGGAATATAATCCAATGGCTAATTATTTCTAATTTCTGTCAGTCGGCCAGTGTCATCAGCGAGTATCAGTTAGAGAACTATTGTGAAATCCAGTTGGGAATGCTGGACAGCTCTATTGATGATTAGTTTAAATATGCTTCCATATCTGTGAACTATTCTTCAATAAGTAAAAACACAGTTTTTTGTTCGGCGAAGAAATACTGTATCTTTTCAATGACTTCATTTTCAAGCTGTACAGTCGTATTTATATTACAGTGCACTAATTTCAACAGTTGGTTACCTTTAGGGAGAAAGAGAAATCTTATTCATTCCTTATGCTCCAGAATTCGTAAAATCTGCTCTACAGAGACAATCGGTAGTGAACTAGATAACCTTCGATCAAATCTCCTTAACAATGGATATCCTACAAGGTTTATTGAATGTAACATCAAGAAAGAATTCGCCCCTAGACAAATCAGAGTGCTAAAGAAAAAAATGTTTATGAGTCTTGCATTCAAAGGTGACACCATTTCGGAATTGATTAAAAATCGTTTATCTAAATGTATTAAACGCACTTTTCCTGCAGCTGACTTGCAACTAGTTTTACCAGCCGAAATATGATCAGACAATGCGTCAAGGATAGATTACCGCTTTTGTCCACATCTATGTGCATTTACTCTTTTACCTGCTCCTGTGGAGCTGATTATATTGGACGTTGTAAGTGTACTCTCCGAAAACGTGTAGCTGAACACTATCCGGTTTGGTTAATGAAAGGTGAACGTAGAACTGCGAAGTCGTCTATTTGTGATCACCTGTTAGAGTCAGGTCATTTAGCCCCACGTGATTCATCTTTCAAAGTTATCTACATGGCAAAATCGAATCGCTCCAAAAGTTTACGTTTTCTTCACTTATGCATAGCCGAAGCTTTAGCTATACATGAACAGAAACCTAAATTATGCGTTCAGAAAGGTTTTGTTAAACCGCTTTCTTTACCTTGGTCATAGTAATGTTCTTTCTATTTTTTACTTTATTTTATTTGATCACTTGAATTCGTTCCACTTCACTTCACATCTTCATTCTTATCGTAATCGTACTCCTAATTTTTTAAAAATTTTTAGAGAACACTTGACATTTTAAAAACATTTTTGAGTTCAATTCACTTATAAAACAATCTTTAATAATTTTGTAATTCATCCACTTCAACTCTGTCCCTTATAACATTTTAATTATCGTTATTCGTATCACTTATATATGTATATTGACTGAGCAATTATTTAGTGCCACTTAATAACTTTTACTGTAATATAAATACGACTGTACAGTTGGCTTGAAAATGAAGTAGTTGAAAAGAAATTTCTTCGCTGAAAAAACAAAAAAACTGTGTTTTTTACTTATGAATAAATGGGTATTCTTCAGTAGTCTCAATATTCAACCCTTGGCGATTCAGTGATGGTGTCAACGTGCTTGCTTCCTAGAGTGAAGGTCTCCATGAGTTCGATCCTCCATAGGGTCTTGAATTCATACGACTGAAGAGTCCCAAAGTATAACAGAACAGCTGTTCAGTGCTCCTTGATGATTTTCGGTGGTTGTTGAACTGATATCACTTTGTGATCAAACCTTGAAGTCAATCAGGTACTTGAGAGACAATACTTGGAAATATAGCTCTATTTGTACGTTAGATTTTGTCTTTAATATCATTGATTTCATGGTTATGTTGAGAATACAGATGACAGGTTTGGGCGTAGTGAATGTACTCCGAATTCTTATGAAATATTCGATTCACTTATGCAACCTTTTGAATAATGGAGTTTTAACTAGTTTTATTTTATTTCACTCTCAACAAAACACCAAGGTAACATTATATATCTCAAAGGTGTATTGATTGATATTAGGATAAAACTTGGGCGCTGTAGTGGTAGATTATAACTCCATTATGCATAAAACTTATTTTGATAAACTTATACAGTGTGTTATATAGTACAGTAATATTTACTGATGCCACCACGTTTCGAGTGCAATTTATTACTACTGCTCATAATCACATCCAGCTGTTAACTCACACAACTTTCTAACTTTGTTTATATAATTCCATCACTATTTTTAATCGCTTGATTTGATTGGTAGTAGTATTTTTCACATTTTCGGTATGACTGAGGAGTCATTTCTATTGCATGTGTTGGGTGTAGATTCGATGAACAAAGATTCAGTAATCAATCTCTCTCTCCACCTATCTAGATTACTTTTTAGAATTTTGACTCTGTCTCACCCACCTTATTGTGTGGTTGTGTGTTAATACATGCAGTGCGACTGCTGAGTTTTTTCTAAATTATTTATCTTGGTGGGATCAGTCATTCTAACCTTAACTGAATTCTTATGCTCTGATAATCTCACTACTCCTGATCTACTTGTTTGACCTATGTAGTCGACTTAACTCACAGTCATTGCAAGGTATTCTGTAAATTATATTATTTTGTATTATTGGGTCGACCGACAGGGTCCTTCAACTTACCTATAGAGCTTGTCCTACCTGAGAGAGTTTGTAGGCTTGAATGTCACCCTAATACCTGCTTTATTGAGAATCCTATGTAGGGAGGGTCTCATGTGTTCCCTCTTTATATGGTGAAACTACTGTAGATGCCTTATATTCTCTCTTATTTGTGTTATCATTACTAGTTTCCTCTTTACTTTTATTTTGCTTTTGACCTTTTCTGAACTTCCAAATGAATTTATAGGATAGTCAGTTATTTGACACCAACCAGCTATTCTTCTATTTGTTTCATTTCATCATTTAGATCTGTTCTTGTACTACTTAGTGCTACTGTTCGGTTTGTTAGACGCTTAACTAAGCCTGCCATCACAGACAGATAACGAATGAGATGAACTAAAGTCTCAATATCTGTTAGCAGAATGCGTTGGCTTTGCCTTTTATAAACGCTAGTGTGCAATTTACCTTCTTCTGTTCGTTTTATTTTACAATCTAACATCATAGCTAATTCTCCTTGTTCATTTTCCGATTCAAATGTGAATTTTATTCCCTCTACTAATGAGTTTATGTGTGTCAAGAGGCTAGAGATATGAAGCTGACACTTTATCAGTGTTGAAAATAGAACATATCTCCACCATATTTTTAGAGTAAGATTAAATGTATTAAGAGCAGTATTTTCCCAGCTGTCATCCATAAAGATTTCTGCTACGATATTATGTAATAAATTACACTAAGCAAATACTTTGTTCAGAAAAAAGATTTTATTATTGTTCTTTAGCGTTGTTAAATGTTATTAGCTGAACAGTTGAATTTCAAGGGTAACACCGTCTTTCTAGACAAGGTGTTTAGCGTTCCATAAAAGATGTAATTGTAAATGAAATAACGCAATAACTCCATTTAAAGAACCAATGAACACCAGAGAGTACTGTACTAGATGGCTGTTTCTTCCTACTTCGGGATTCTTCAGAAGCACACACCCAGGAATTCAATCAGGGAGCTGAAGAGTCCTAAATTCGGACGAAATAGCTGTCAATACTTCCTGTTGGCTTTCATTTGTTTTTTCTTTATGATACTGATTATGATTAGTCAAATATAAGTCAAACGAGAAACGACAAATACATAGAATAAGAAAACTTCAGAAGATTATTCTAGGAGAGACAGTGAGATCTATTCATAAAGAATTCCCTAGACTTGGAGATGTTGTGCCTAACATTGAGTCATTTAACTCAGAAACCACAAAAGCCCATATTATCATCTGCATTATTTAAGCTTTCATTTATTGATTTGCCTTTTTTATTTTTAGAGTAAAGATGAAACACTTTTCTTCTTCAATGTTCATTCTACCCATCTATCACCAATCGGTTTTGTACATGTTCATGAAAAAGTTGTCCGTCTGGAATGGTATTATGTCAATAATAAACCTACAAATGAAGTTATAGTTTATCTTGAAAATGGTTGTGTAATAACAGTAAGTCTAGTGATTTTTTTCGTTTAACACCTCTTTATTTTTCTTTTTGCTATTTATTAGTTTTTATTATTATTATTCCCTTGGGTTCCAAGTGGAATATACGGCTTCAGTAACACATCTCCACTTTGTTCTACTGATATAAGTATAAAACTTGGGCACTGTGGTAGAGTATAATTCCATAATGGATAAGATTTTATTTTGATAAATCACACAGTGTAGTACAGTTATATTAACTGATGACGTTTCGAGCACAAACTATTGCTCATAATCATATCAAGTTACTCACACAACTTCTTTCCTTCATTTATATACATGTGTGGAATCGACTAGATATTGGAATAAAATTCAATATGAGATAATGTACATTCAGAAATAATAGTACGAGTGTTATTAATCCATTGCAATTAGATGGGAATGACGACGAGTGTTTTTATAGTCATAATAAGTTGATTGTTAGAATGTGTTGATGTGTTTGAATGTAGGTTAAAGGACCCGTTGGACCCAATTAAACAAAATAATATAATTTACAAAATACCTTGCAACGACTGTGAAGTCAACTACATAGGTCAAACTAGTAGGTCAGGGATAGTCAGATTATCAGAACATAAGAATTTAGCTAAAGGGAAAATGATTGACCCTAAAAAGATAAGTAATTTAGAAAAAAGCTCAGCTATTGCACTTCACGCAATAACAAACAACCACACAATAGGGTGGGATAGGGTTAAAATTCTAAAACGTAATATAGGTAGGTGGAAAGAGAGGTTGATTACGGAATCCTTATTCATCGAGTCTACTCCCAACACATGCAACAGAAGTGACTCAATGCAAATACCAGAAATATGGAAGATATTATTACCGCCAGTCAAACCAGAAGAAGATGATAAATAGTCTTAAAATTCTATTTCCATTCAAACACATCAACACATTCTAACAATCAACTTATTATGACTATAAAAACACTCGTCGTCATTCCCATCTAATTGCAATGGATTAATAACACTCGTATTATTGCCACCAGTCAAATCAGAAGAAGATGATAAATAATCTTAAAATTCTATTTCCATTCAAACACATCAACACATTCTAACAATCAACTTATTATGACTATAAAAACACTCGTCGTCATTCCCATCTAATTGCAATGGATTAATAACACTCGTACTATTATTTCTGAATGTACATTATCTCATATTGAATTTTATTCCAATATCTAGTCGATTCCACACATGTATATAAATGAAGGAAAGAAGTTGTGTGAGTAACTTGATATGATTATGAGCAATAGTTTGTGCTCGAAACGTCATCAGTTAATATAACTGTACTACACTGTGTGATTTATCAAAATAAAATCTTATCCATTATGGAATTCCACTTTGTTCTGTCCTTCAGGGTCTACTTCAGATGAGTCCACAATTGCCTATAATCTCTCATCTTCCCCTGTTCTTCGCCACGTGATCTCTTATATGTCACTCTCGCACCAAAGACCCACTCGTCGCTTCCCATCGGGATTTCACTCGAGCGATGGTCTGTCATTCGATGAGCTCCTCAGCGTATGCCCACTCTATCATCTCCATTTTCTCCTAAATATTTGTTGAGCGATCAACTCTTGGTTGGTTTATTCCCGGTCAGCCAGAGTTTCTTGTCGCTAATTCTTTCTGGCCGGCTAGCTGGCCATTTGTTCTTCAGTATGGAGCCAGGCAGACAGCGAAGGGGGCAGCTGTTGATAAAAGCCTGTTTTGACCTGTTGGAAATGCTTTTCGTAACGCACACGCAGTGAAAGTTTCTTACCCACAAATGAACTGCATGCCAAGTAATCCACAACGGGAAACTTACGGATTCCTTCGAAGAAAAGAAGGGAGTAAGACAAGCAAACTGCCTGATATCTACGGTAATTTTCCTGATTGTGGTAGACTGGATAATGTGACAGACAGTAGTCCGGGCAACGAGGAGACAGGCATAAAATGGACCCACATAAAAGTCTTGGAGGATCTGGACTTCGTCGATGATATATGTCTGATTTCACACAAACTGGAAGATATGCAAGTGAAAAGCAACAAGTTGGCAGAAGAAGCATCCAGAGAAGATAGGACTTCAGGTAAACATAGAGAAAACAGATGTGGTGATGAAGATTTTTGACCAAAAGCAACAGCCACAACAACAACAGACAAAAATCGGCATAGATGGGAAAAATCTAAAAGAAGAAACCTCCTTTACCTACCTGGAAAGCATCGTTTCAACTACAGGCGGAACTGACGAGGATATCATAGTGAGGCAAGCTTTCATTACCCTCAAGTCTGTGTGGAGATCAACAGCACTCAGTTTGCAAAATAAGAACCGGATTTTCAACTCCAATGTGAAGTCAGTGCTACTTCTTATATAGATCAGAGACTTGGCACGTCATAAAGAGCACTTCGAACAAACTACAAACCTTCATCAATAGCTATCTTTGCTCAATTATACTCAAGATCAGATGACCGGCCAGAAAAGATCAGTAACAGGGATCTCTGAGAGCGAACCAACCAATCAGGAACCAATTGTGTAAGAGATTTGCAGGAAGAAATGGAGGTGGATTGGCCTTACTCTGAGAAAACCATCAATGGACATTACACGCCAGGCCACTGCTTGAGTGGGACCCGGCTGAATAGGAAGCAGGGAGTCGGTCGTCAGTGCGAGGGTGGTGTGACATGGATGACATCATGTGAAGAGGAGGTGAAAGCATGTGAACAGACATGGAGCGAGGTGAAAACGTCGGCAGAAAACCGAATTCAACAAAGAGGTACGACTGAAGCCCTTTATTCCTCTAGGAACTATAGGAAACAATAATACCAATATATATAATAGTATTAATTGTAATACTTTGTGTGTTATCCATGAATTAAATTATATTTTAATTTAGAAACCAGTTTTATCATTTTTGCTTTCATTGTTATTTCAAATCTTTAGATAGAATGTCCATCAGAGAATCAAATATATGATCATTCTAAAACATTTGCTTTATCACAATTTCAAACAACACATTCCTATCAATTATTGAGTATTAAGTCACGTTTAGAACATGATGAAGAATCTGAGGTGAAATTGGAAAGATATGAAAAAGAAAAAGAAATGAGGCAAGAAATTCGACGAATGAATGCACGTCTCCAACCGGAAACAGAAGAGGATAAACAAAAATTAGATGATGGTTAGTTTACAGCCAAAAAAATTTGATGTACTTTATGTGTTTATCTTGTTGGTTTACAGGAACTTGATTGATTACAAGTTGGTATAAGCTAAGGTATCATTGAAAGCCAGGGATTGGTGTTTCGTCCTAGTTTGGGACTCTTCATCAGTGCGAAGCCATCAACCCATAAGGAATTAGACCTAGGACTGTCATATTACAAGGTGAGCTCACATGTTCTGTGATAGGCAATACAGACAATCAGGAATCGAGCACGATATAGCGAAATGTAAGTAAGAGGCAGAACGTAGATGATGGTTGGAGCAGTGTATTAATAATGCTAATAATAATCATCACAATACAAGAGGAACAATCAAGTTCAAATGACGGGAAGATTTAGGCTGCTTGTGACAACTGGATACTGTCTTTTAAACTGGCGCACAATATTCGGACTGGTAGTTTTTTGTGTATCAACAAGTTCCAAGTTTAAGGGAACCGATTCTTTTGAACGCCATAGGCATCCCTCTACGCTTTCCCTCTGGAGTTAAGTGCTGGAATGAAAGGAGGCGCTGTGCTCCATCACACATCTTTTCAGGATGAATTTTTGACACATTGATGGTAACAGTTCTTCTGTGTTCTATGTCAACCAAAAGACTCAACACCGAAAGAAGATAAAACCAACATCATCTACAAAATAAGTTGTAACAACTGTGAAAAACACTACATTGGCCAAAGTGGACGCCCTTCCTCTTTGTCTTCGTATCCATGACCACAAACTAGCCGTCAAAAGACATGAAATCCACTCCTCCACCGTTATTGCTGCATACAGACAACCACGAACATCAATTCAACTGGGACAATCAACGTTCAAATATTAGACAGAGGAAACACCAAGAATGTTTGAGAATTTTTAGAAGGCTGCCTGGTATTCCAGTGAGTCGTCAATCAATAGACACATCGAGATAGACAAAATTTACCAATCGATAAGAAGGAAATCTCATACACAAAGAGTCAAACTTCAAGTCAAGGAAACAATCAGTACCAATCCAAGTAGCCTAGAGGGTGTGAAAACACACAAAAACAACCAATCACATTCAAAATCACCGACTAGGAGAGATGACTAATAAACTCGTGTAGAAATCTGAAAGCTCAATTCAATAAAAGTTGAAGTACGTGCTGAAGATGTTGCCTAGTAAGAAGCAATAAAATCTTCGCGAAATAGCTATCCACCTCAGAGAACACAACCACTTCAAAAACAGTTCTTCTTCATATATTTCTGAAACATGAATGTTTGTCATTTCTAGGTGATCCAAAGAGTGCAGTGAGAGAGTGCATATTACAGCACTAGGTCGTCGCTCTTCATCTTACTGTTGAATATACCACGCGGACTACTCCTTCTTTGGTGTGAATGACTTATATTATTTTATTATTTATTGTTCCCTTGGGTTCCTAGTGGAACATAGGGCTTCAACTACACGTCTCCACTTGCTTCTGTCTTCTGCTGTACTTTTCACCTGCATCCATGTTACTCCAAACTAGCTCAGTTCCTCTTCACACGATCTCCTCCATGTCACCCTTGCACCGACGAACCACTCACCGCTTCCCTTTAGAGTTTCACTCGAGCGTTGGCCTGATGCATGATGTCACCCAGTGGCCTCCTCTGCTCAGGGAGTGTCCAATCCATCTCCACTTTCTTCTGCATATTTGTTGGGCGATTGGTTCTTGTTCTGTTTGTTCCCATAGTTTCTTGTTGGTTCTTGTTCTTTCCGGCCATCTGATCTTCAGTATAGAGCGAAGGTGGTAGTTGTTGATAAAGGTGTGCAACAGGCTGTTGGAAATATTCTTTGTGACCCGCCACCAAGTTTCTGATCCGTATAGAAGAACTGACTGACTTGACGTTTGCATTGAAAATCCGAAGCATTTTGTTGTTGATGTTGAGTGACGAAGATTTCCAGATTGGGATGAATATGTCCGATGCCGCGAACTTCACTTTCATTCTGCTACTCTTCCTCACTTTTCTCCTAGTCGGTTACCGATAATGCCATCTGAACTGCTGTCACAATCGCTTTCACAAAGTTTGTCTGAGGCGTAGCAATCGATGGGATGGATGAGCCTAAGGATTGTTCTCCATTTCGAACCTCCTTCACTTGCAGATGGACACAGATCGTCAGTAAATTCCAGACTGTTCACATCTCGTCTTAATTTCAACGACAATCCACGGCTAGAGTTTATTTAGCAAGGAAATATGATGTATTTCATTGGTCTTATGTAAGAACACAAACTGACATTAGTTAGGGAACTGTTGAAAATGAGGGACAGATGTGTTGTTCTAGTTTGGGACTCTTCAGTAGTACAAACCTATTGGCCTGCAAGGAATCGAACCTAGGATTTCAAGGGTGCCAGGTTAGTCCGTTGACCATTTATATTCATGGGTGCGTACAGTTGAAGGATCCAGTACGCCTTGGTTTTCAGCAGTTCTATAACCGATGTTAGTGCGCGATCCAACCTGTATATGAGGAACCACCAATCAGAAGACTCTGTGTGTCTGAGAAAAATTATCTATAAAAATGTGGATGAAAATCTATAAATATGTGTTGATTTCCTAAATAAACGATCTGTTGCCTGGCCTTTGTCTTCTGTCGTTACAATAATAAATATTAGATGGTTGATCAGAAAGGATAAGCGGCAAAGAACTCTGGAAACGAATAGCAAGCGATGAGTTGGTTGGGGGTAGAAGTGTAAAGAGTATGAGATCATGTGACGAGAGGACCGGAGCTTATGGCCTGCCCAGGGTGATATTCCTAATTGTGGTGCACGACTGGATTATGCGTCCAACTGCGGAAAGTGAGAAGACATGAATAAGTTGGACCAATTAGAAAACTGTGGAAGATCTAGATTTCACGTGTGGATGATTTATGTTTTGATGTTACTCACACAAACTTGAGGACTTTCAGGCAAAAAAGAAAAAGACTGTTTGAAGAAACAGGCACCGAAGACAGGACTCCAACAGCAACAGTAACAACAGCAACAACCAGCACAAATCACCTTCAGCCGGAGAGATCTGACGGAGGTTACTTCCTGCCTTCACTTATCTGGCTAGGAAGCACGGTTTCAACCACGGACACAGACGCCACGGATGGAGATGTGAAAACCAGCCGGTCAGAAACAGAAAGGCAAGATATGTCTTTATCAACCGACCTGAAACCATATTGGAAGTCTTCTGCACTGTCTCAACCAGCCAGCATAAACAACAAAATGTGTTCAGATTCTGTTCAACACAAATGTGAAGTTAGTCAGTCAGTTCTTCTAATATGGGTCAGAAACTTGTACTGCACACACGTCACGAAGAGCATTTCCGACGACAGTCAGCTGCAGGCTTATATCAACAGCTGTCCCCTTCGCTGACTGCATGGCTCCGTACTGAAGATCAAACGGCTCGCCAGCCAGAAAAAATTAGCAACAAGAAACTATGGAGGTGAAAAAACCAATAAAGAGCTGATCTCTCGACAATTATGTAGGGGAAAATGGAGATGCATTAGGCATACGTTGAGGAGGCTGTCGAATGACATCACGCTCAGTGCAGACCACGGCGACAAGAGGGTGGTCGGCGCGACAGTGACATGGAGGCTAATGTGTGGCGAGGTGAAGCGGGAGATGAGAGACTATGGTCAATCATGGACCCAGATATAGAAGACAGCGCGAAGTAGAGGAAAGTGGAAATGTGTTGCTGAGACCCTATTTTTCATTCGTAACCCATAGGAATAATAATAATTATATGGGCTGCCATACACCTAGTTGTAGAGTGAAGCAGAGGATAGATTGAAATGACGTTGTGTAGTTGAAGTCCTCCAGGTGAACATAGACAAGACGGAGGTAATGAAAATAACCAACCAACAACAACAACAGCATCAGCAATATCCACCGCCAATAACCATCAACGGGAAGGATTTGAAAGAGGTTACTTCATTCACTTCACTGATCTAGGGAGCATTGTCTCAACTACAGGAGGAACGGACGGACGAGGATGTCAAATCGAGAATCGGGAAGGCGAGAAACACATTCATCAACCTGAAACCAATCTGGAAATCTTCGTCACTCAGCCTGCATCAACAACAAAATTCGGATTTTCAATACAAACGTCAAGTCAGTCAGTTCTTCTATACGGATTAGAAACTTGGCGGGTGTGTCACAAAGAATATTTCCAACAGCCTGTTGCAGACCTTTGTCAACAACTGTCTATACTGAAGATCAGATGGCTGGAAAGAACAAGAACCAACAAGAAACTATGGGAACAAACAAAACAAGAACCAATCGCTCAACAGATATGCAGGAGGAAGTGGAGGTGGATTGGTCACTCACTGAGGAGGCCACTGGGTGACATCGCGCGTCAGGCCATAGCTCGAGTGGAACCCGAAAGGGAAGCGGCGAGTGGGACGTCGGTGCAAGGGTGACATGGAGGAGATCGTGTGAAGAAGAGTTGAAACAGTATGGACTAACATGGACGCAGGTGAAAAGTACAGGAGAAGACAGAAACAAGTGGAGACGTGCAGTTGAAGCCCTATGTTCCACTAGGAACCCAAGGGAATAATAATAGTTGAATTCCTATGTTTAACTAGTAACCCAGAGAGAGTATAGTGATAGTAATAATAATAGCTACAAGTACTTATACATATTCTATAATTTTCTAGAAAAAGTATCCACATACTTTCAGACAATAGTTTTCTTTTTTCTCTGATGTAAAGTTCAAAGGTTAGACAGATGCCTTCTCAGTGTTAATCGATTGCTTCATTTCTTCCTCTTTGTTTTCCTTTATTTATATATATATATATTCCATCTTTTAGAAGAGGAACTTATTCGTCAAGGTGTTATGTCTGAGATAGCTGATTGGGCACCAACATATCCGACAAGTCCATCTCCTCTACTCTATGGTTGCTTAGATAGAAATGAACCAAATCATATTTGGATGTCACTGGTAATTATTATGTAACAAATTATTATTAATATTATTTTTTAATATTACTCTTTTGTAATTACATATATATGAGCGTCAGTGGCTCGGTAGTAGAACTCTTGCCAAACACGCACGTGGTCCAGGGTTTGACTCCCGGCGGACGTACTCCAAAACCTCGCTGAGCCGGTAAACAGGGAAAGTTGGGTGTAAGGTTGGCAACTCACCCCACCACGTAGAGAGAAAAAATACTGATACCACTGCTATCGAAACTTTGGAGTTCTTGCTTGAGGGCCCATGTTTCACTCGGAATATAAGGAAATATTTTCAAGGATTGATTTGTAGGGATTTTCTTTGATTGGTTGAAGGATTTCATCATGAGCTGACATCGGTTAGAGAACCAATGGAAAACCAGCAGGGCAGCTATTTCCTCCTAGTCTTGGGACTCTTCCGCAGTAAAAACCCACCACCACGGTTCGAACCCAGGACCTTCTGGTTACAAGGCCAGAGAGCTCGTAGGCCATTAAGCCAAAAGGACCCGTTTCAATAGCCAGCCCACGAATTCTAACTTCTGCAAATTCACGACATAGCGTGACTGCTTGGCAGGCTAAACGGCCCTGTAGGTTGAACCAGTTAGATAAAATAATATAATTTACAAAATACCTAACAATGGCTGTGAGTTGAGTCAACTACATAGCTCAGTCAAACTAGTAGATCAGGAGTAATGAGGTTATCAGAATATAAGAATTTAGCTAAGGTAAGAAAAATTGACTCCGAGAAGATAAGTAATTTAGAAAAAAGCTCAGCATTACATTGCACTGCATGCATGAACACACAACCGCACAATCGAGTGAGTGGGACAGAGTCAAAATTCTAAGAGGTAATATAGGTAGGTGAAGAGAGAGATTGATTACCGAATCCTGCCTGGTTCATTGAGTCTACATCCAACACAGCACATGCAATAGAAGTGACTCAACACAAATACCAGAGATATGTGTGGAAGATATTATTACCACCAGTCGAATCAGAGGAGGATAATAAATAATGTTAAACTGTATTTAATTCACATTATAACATTCTAAAAAGTTACTTATTCCGACTATAAAAACATCTTATTTCCCATCTGATTGTATTTGATTGATAACACTCATATTATTATTTCTGAATGTAGTTTATCTTATATTACTGATTTCATTCAAATATTTAATCAATTTTATTCATGTATATAAATGAAGTCAGTGAGTTTCTTGATATGATTATGAGTGGCAATAATTTGTGCTCAGAACGTTTTTTATTCCTTTACGTTCCCAGTGGAACATAGGGAGGCTTCAAGCTAGAGACTTGAAGTTTCAGTAACAGTGGTGTTTATTTATTTTTACAGGACGGGGTTGCTAGCCAGCCTCATGCCCAACTTTCCCTCTCTAACAGTCTTATTACTGGCTTAGCAGTGAGTTGGCCTTGAGTCGAACCCCGAACCCCAAGAGAGGTGGTTGGTGACGAGCATTCTACCGCCATGCCGCGGACACATGTGCCCAGGACGTGGTCATCATTAAATGTTACTTTATAACCCTGTGTGAATTTATCAAAATGAAATTTTATCAATAAGGGCTCCTCACCTTGAAATCAGTATGAAGATCCTCAGTATATTATGCAGCATAGCGACCAATATCCAAATTTTAATTACTAAGGTCCAGAAAATGTTTTATGTAGTTCAGAGACTTGATGCATCCCGGTATGCAGTAGGCTTTCATGAACACCTGTCTTTACTGGTCCGTTAGTGAGGATTAGATGGTCAGGAGGCCAGAAACGATAAGCCATAAGGAACTCTGGAAGCGACCCAATCAAGAATCTAATGTCCAAGAAGTGTACAGTAGGAAATGGAGATGGATTGGTTAGACACACTGAAGAACGTTTAGTGACATCCCATACCAATTCCTATAGTGCAGTATAAATGGGAAACGACTAGTTGAATATGGGTAGCTGGCAGTGAAATCCAGAACTTCCATTTCGTCCCATTTGACACTCTTCAGATGGATGCACCTTTACTGAGAATTGAACCTAGCCAAAGCGCTTTCCATTAGCCAGCTGGATGACGAGAGTCACCGGTATTACCTTGAATTACGGAATATAGTCATTGGATCATAGGAATTATTAAAAAGATGGTTGCAGTGAAGAAAATTTTCTTTTTGATGGAGTCATCATCAGCTAGACTGTACACTGGTGTATTTATTTCAAATATGTGAGAGAGTTCCAAAATTATTTCCTGTTAGAGGTTAAATTAATAAAATTACTGAGTGTAATAATCAGGAAGATCGGGTAGAAAAGATTATAATTGCTTACAGGATTTCATCATGAGCAGACATTGGTTAGAGAACCATTGGAAAACCTGGGAGTACTGGACAGCTATTTCCTCCTAGTCTTGGGACTCTTCCGCAGTAAAAACCCACCACCACGGTTCGAACCCAGGACCTTCTGGTTACAAGTTTAGCTAGCTCGTAGACCATTGAGCCACTGGGATCCGATCCAATGGCCAGGTCATGAATTCTAACTTCTGCCAATTCACGACATAGCGCGACCACTAGCCAACGTCTTTGGCAAGTCCCAAAGTAGGACGAAACAGCTGTCCAGTACTCCCAGGTTTTCCAATGGTTCTCTAACCAATGTCTGCTCATGATGAAATCCTGTAACCAATCAACCAAATCCGTACAAGCCAACCCTTGAATAAGATTATAATTACTGGAAAACTCTTCAGTTTGTACAAATTACGGATTAAGGACGTAGTATTAACAAAATAGGCAGGAAGTTCAGACGTATATTAAAGATAAAAAACAGCAACCAAATCTAGTAATGCAGATAGGAACTTAAAAAAACGTAAAAATAACAGAAATAAACAGGAGGGTTGGATAAGAAGGTTAATATAGTAATCATTATTGATGGGACTGACTTTTTATGATGGCCATGGTAGGGATAACGGCTGGACGTCTTCCTCTTGAAAACATAAAGTGAGCTTGAGTTTTTGGATCACTATTGCCTGAGCTACTTGTAGACGTCTTGATTTCATTCCCTTTGATAGGTTTGATCAGATCTTGTATATGACTTTGAAGGACTTTTCATCGGATGGAGCTGAATGTCCAGAATTCACCAGATGTGTTATTCCTTTCCTAACCATGCTGTCTAGTGTTCCCAAGCCCAATTTACCAGCGTACTCATGGTTCGGACAATATACTCAATTCCACATGAGCAAGTGAACTGGTATATGCAATGCATGTTGAAGTGGTGGCCCAATGTGACAGCATGTCTTTCACATTGAATTACTCGTTGATCGATTTTTATATATCGCAACGAAATACATGGGATGTGTTAGTATGTCGGCTCCAAGTATGGACGCTTCGACACTATCTTGTAATGATCAGGATATTATTTAGTCGATATAGGCAGGCAATGGAATCAAGGAAGAAAAGGTCTTACCAAGTACCAATATGTCGGGGGTCGAGCTAAAATAGTGTTCTGGTTGTATTTTTGTTTTATTCCTTTACGTTCCCAGTAGAACTTAGGACGGCTTCAAGCTAGAGGCTTGAAGTTTCGGTGGCAGTGGGGTTTATTTATACGGAATGAGGTTGCTAGTCAGCCTCATGCCCAACTTCTCCTCTTTACCAGTCTTATTACCGGCTTAGTGAGGTAAAGGAGTGCGTCGGCGGAGGGGAGAGGAAGATCGAACCCCGAACCGCATGACGCGTGGTTGGCGGCGAGCATTCCACCGCTGTATTATTATTATTGTTCCCTTGGGTTCCTAGTGGAACATAGCGCTTCAACTGCACGCCTCCACTTGCTTCTGTCTTCTGCTGTACTTTTCACCTGCATCCATGTTAGTCCATACTGTTTCAGTTCCTGTTCACACGATCTCCCCCATGTCACCCTTGCACCGACGAACCACTCGCCGCTTCCCTTTCGGTTTCTACTCGAGCGTTGGCCTGACGCGCAATGTCACCCCTCAGCGAGTGTCCAATCCAATCTCCACTTTCTCCTGCATATTTGTTGAGCGATTGGTTCTTGTTTCGTTTGTTCCCATAGTTTCTTGTTGATGATTATTTCCGGCCATCTGATCTTGAGTATAGAATGAAGACAGTTGTTGATAAAGTTCTGTCACCTGTTGGAACCATTCTTTGTGACCCACCGCCAAGTTTCTGATCCATCCGTATAGAAGAACTGACTGACTTGACGTTTGTATTGAAAATCCGAATTTTGTTGTTGTTGATGCTGAGTGACGAAGATTTCCAGATCGGTTTCAGGTTGATGAATGTGTTTCTCGCCTTCCCGATTCTCGATTTGACATCCTCTTCCGTTCCTCCTGTAGTTGAGACAATGCTCCCTAGATAGGTGAACGGGGTAACCTCTTTCAAATCCCTCCCGTTGACGGTGAGTGGCGCTGGATGTTGCTGTTGTTGTTGCTTGTTGATTATTTTCATAACCTCCGTCTTGTCTATATTCACCTGGAGTCTTGTCTTTGCTGCTTCGTCGACCAGTTTATCGGTTTTCGCTTGTAAGTCTTAGATTTTGTGTGACATCAAACATAAATCATCCACGTGCGAAATCCAGGTCTTCTAGGTTCTTCACGTCGGTCCAGGATATCCCTCCCTGTCTTCTCGTTTCTCACTGTCTGACGACGCATAATCCAGTCGTGCACCACAATTAGGAATATCATTGGTGATAATAAGCACCCTTGTCTGACTCCTGTGTTTACTCCAAACGTCTCGCTGAGTTTTTCATTGTGGATCACTTGACATGTGCCGTTGTCGTACTGCTGTATATTGTATACATAATAAATTTTGTTTTCTTAATCTATTAACACTTCTCCCCTCTTTTCTTTCAAATAATCTCTGCATTTTTAGGGGGAATTCGATAAAGGCTATCTGTATAAATGTAAACTAGGCGGTCCTGTGCTGACAATTGATGAAGCCGTTGAAAAAGTTCGTAAGGAGAAGGCAAATATTAAAAAACAAAATCAAATTAAACATGATATGGAAAGTGGTCAAACAGAAGTGGATCAGTCATCGGCAACAACAACAACAACAGCTACAACCACAGCGACAACAACGATAACTACCGACACTAATAATACTGAACATATTAACAAAAAGGGCACTCATGAAATTATCGATCCACAGAGTATTACACTTGCTGATAGAATACCTGTCACTGAGCCGAATAAAGCAGTTCGTATGTCAGAGAAAAAGGATACCTGTGTCACATATTGGACATTTTCTCAATCTGGTTATCGAGTTCTGATTGGTTATGATGATGGTGTTATTCGTGTCCAGTTGTTAGAGAAGGCCTATGATTTAACAAGTTTTAAAGGTTATTGGATATTTCGATTGCATGATAATCAGCGAGGACGTGTTAATCGGATAGCTTTAACATATGATGAAAAGTAAGTGATGAAGAGTTTTAACTAGGCTTTCGTAGTCCACCTTCTAGACATCTAAATTAGTTATCTTCTCGGTGTCAACTATTCTTACCTTAGATAAATTCTTACCTTCTGACAATTTGACTGTCCCCGATCTACAAGTTTGACTCACAGCCATTGCAAGGTATTTTGTAAATTCTATTATTTTGTTTAATTGGGTCCACCGGGTCTTTTAGCCTACAGAGCTTGTCCTACTTGAGAGAATTTGTAGGTCTGAATGCCACCCTAATTCCTGCCTTATTGAGAATCCTACGTAGGGTCTCAGATGTCTCCTCCCTCCTTATGTGGTTGACCAATGAGAAGATAAGTAATTTGAAGAAAAGCTCAGTGGTTGCACTGCATGCATTAACACACAACCACATAATGGGGCAGGTGGGACAGAGTCTAAATTTTAAAAAGTAATATAGGTAGTTGGAGATAGAGATAGAGATTGTGACTCATCACTAACACCAGAGATATGGAAGATATTACTATCACCAGTCAAATTACGGCAGGTTAATAAGTAATGTTAAAATGTATTCCAATTCACATTCTAACATTCTAACAAGTTACTTATTTTGACTTTAAAAACACTCGTCTTATTTCCCATCTCATTTTATTTGATTGATAACACTTATGCTATTTCTCAATGTACTTTATATTGATTTTATTCAATCAAATGTATTATTATTATTATTTCCTTTAGTTCCTAGAGGAACATAGGGCTTCAGCCATGCGTCTCCATTGCGTTCGATTCTCTGCTAGAGTTTTCACCTGGCTCCAGGTCTGCCCACATGCTTTCATCTCCTCTTCACATGATCTCCTCCAGGTCACCCTTGGACGACCAACTCGCCGCTTCCCTTTCGGGTTCCACTCGAGGGCTTGTCTAGTGACGTCACTTGATGGTTTCCTCAGAGTGTGGCCAATCCATCTCCATTTTTTCCTGCCTATTTCTTTCACAATGGGTTCCTGGTTGGTTCGCTCCCAGAGATCTTTGTTGCTGATCCTTTCCGGCCATCTGATCTTGAGTATTGAGCGAAGACAACTGTTAATGAAGGTCTGTAGTTTGTTTGAGGTGCTCTTTATGACACGCAGTGCAAGTCTCTGATCCGTATAGTAGTACTGACTTCACATTGGAGTTGAAAATCCCGATCTTATTTTTGCAATCAAATGTATAATCATCAATTTCACTCATGTATATAAATGAAGCCAGACAGTTTTTGTGAGTAGTGCCATACTATGATTATGAGTGGGAATAATTTGTTCTCGAAACGTGGTCATCAGTTAATATTACTGTACAACGAACACTGTGTGATTTAACAAAACGAAATCTTATCTATAATGGAGTGAACTTGAAGTCTTAATGGATCTAGAAGGTCATAAAGAGTGAGTGCATCTTCGATACTGGTAGCAGTTCTAAGCCATACGACTCATGACATTGGTTATTTGCCTCTCAAAGACGCTAACGTAGCATTTTTTACTACCCTAGATGACTGGCTAAAACCAGCTGTCATAGACTGATGTGATGTCTTTAGTAGACAAACCCTAAATTTTTCCCAGCCTAATCCTTTATCAGTAGCATTATCTAAACCCACTTCAACACTATTATTATTATTGTTATATTATATTATTGTTATTATAACTATTACTATTGACATCCCTCTGGTTGCAATTCTTGTTAAATTCTCTAATGTCTAATTGTTTATCTAAGTGATGTAATTGAAGCGTAATGCAATTTATCTTAATTTTGATCTCCCATACTCTCTCTCCCCTTATCTAATTGCACATGACCTGGAAAAACATTCGCACTTGTCTTTCTGCATGACTAATTCAATGTAGTTTATTTACTTGTCAGTCCTATATCTCCCAATATAATTTCAAAACTATATATATCCGTGTATGTAAAGTATTCAGTCCTATATCTCCCAATGTAACTTCAAAAGTATATATCCGTGTATGTAGAGTATTCAGCTGACGAGTTCTACCGAAATTTGATGAATTCATTAAATCCTGCTTTATTAACCTTTATTGCTTGTTTTAATCCTATGAAATCTAACATGGTTCGTCGAAGAAGATAGTGGCCTGGCATGTGTAACACATGTCTTAGCCAATTTCAATCGATGTAGCTTCACGACCTTATCGATCAACTTCCGTTTCTAACCAATATGTTGCTCACCATATTATGCCCCCTTAAAAAAGGAGACAGAACGCGAACATTTGTGGTAAAAGACAGCCAGCTTTTTTATATGTATTATTTTTCTATAGTTTGGTTTGTAAGGGTTAGTTTTGCTTTTTACGAGTTCGGTCACGGATTGATACCAGTTAGAGAACCATATATATGGTTTTCAATGGTTCTCTAACTGATATCAATCCATGATCAACTCGTAAAAACATAACTAACCCTTACAAACCAAACTATAGAAAATTAATCAGATGCTCGCTAGTGACTTGCTACAGGATGGAATTTCCTGGAGTTCTAGTGAAAAGTCGTGATCAGTGAGGTCCAATTAGATGTCACGTGTGTGGATGGATGTCCCACCAACGACAATGGTTGGGGTCGCGCTAAATCACGAATTGGTAGAAGTTAGAATTCATGAGCCATTGAATCGGGTCCCAGTGGCTGAATGGTATACGAGCTTGCCTTGTAACCGGAAGGTCCTGGGTTCGAACCCCCTGTGGGGTGGGTGCGTACTGCCGATGATTCCCAAACTAGGATGAAACAGCAGCTGTCCAGTACTCCCTGGTTTTCGATGTTTCTCTAACTGATATCAATCTGTGATCAACTCGTAAAAAAAATAGATGTATGATTTTGTTTATTATACATGTTGAATGACTCATGATTGGACAAAGTTTCAAAAACAAGAGATGTTCCTTTTATATATAAACCTCTGTTACGTTAATTTTGATTAATTTCTTTGCATTCAACCACCCGTTATCCCTTCGAGTGAATCAAATTCAGGACCAGATGAGTGCATAAACAGGCGTCCAATGCTCCACTGTTTTTCAGTAATTCTCTCCAACTGATGTCGATTCCAGACGAAATTTCTATTTGGTTGGATGTGGTTGCGTCTGAGTGACTTCCAATACATCTTTGGATACTCATGTCGATCCATACAATCTCTTAAGAAATCAATCTTTGTCTTCGCTACCGCAAGCTTGAGGGAGTAACGCAGGAAACCATCCAGCTCTTTCACCGTCACTGGGTCCTTGCAACGTTTGAATAGCTTGAAAATCCCCATTGAGTCATATGAAAAAGAGATGACGTTCAGCGAAGAGACTCTTTTCGGCGAATTCATTCACATAGCTGTACAATCGCATTTATATACAGTTATTTTGCGTCTGTGTGTGCATGAGGTTTGTCAAGTTTAGATAATTAATTAATCAGGTAATACAAGAATGATCTAATATAGAAACAAGGTTAATCAGACAGCAACTAAAGTAAGACTGGGTTAGTAAGTTAGATGACGTAATTTAATTGCCTAAAATGTTTCAACTTATATCAGGGTAGCAACGGAGGTAACTACAGGTAGAGACTAGGTAGAAGTGAAATTGAGCAAATAAGTTGGATGACGTAACATAAATGACTAGAAATTGAGCGCTGTTCAAGTCAGTAAGAGTGGTAGTGAGGTGTACTCAAAAGTGCAAGGAGCTGGATGGTTTCCTGCGTTACTCCGTCAAGCTTGCGGCAGGGAAGACAAAGAAATTTCTATTTCCCTAAATCAGAACTGGAAGAATAGCATAGCCTGAATTTTGATGTGGTTGTTTCCTCTGAGTGGGATAGTTAATTTGCGAAGCTTTCATTGCCCCCTGCCTACTAGACAACATCTTCAGCGCATACTTCAATTTCTTGAAGTGGGCTTTTAGACTTCTCCACGAGTTTATTAGTCATCTCTCCTAGTCGGTGATTTTGAATGTGATTGGTTGTTTTTGTGTGTTTTCACACCTTCTAGGCTATTTGTATTGCTATTGACTGTTTCCTTGACTTGAAGTTTGACCCTTTGTGTGTGAGGTTTCCCCCTTATCGGTTGGTTAGCTTGGTGTCAAAAGACATGACATACACTCCCTCGCTCATATCGCTGCATACAGACAACTATGGACATCAGTTCGATCGGGATGACTTTCAAATATTAGACAGAGGAAACACCAAAATGCTAGTGAATTTTTAGAAGCCTGGTATTCCAGTGAATCATCACTGAATAGACACATCGAGATAGACACAATTTACCAACCGATAAGATGGAAACCTCACACACAAAGGGTCGAAGTTCAAGTCAAGGAAACAATCAGTAGCAATACAAGTAGCCTAGAAGGTGTGGAAATACACGAGAGCAACCAGTCACAATGAAGGTCATCTACCAGGAGAGATGACCAATAAACTCGTGGAGGAATCTAAAAGCTCACTTGAAAATGACGTGTATATGCTGAAGATGTTGTCTAAAAGGTACAGTGAAAGCTCCGCAAATTAACTATCCAGCTCAGAGAACACAACCACATCAAAATCATCCACCTGAGCTACAAATCTTCTCCATTATATCTTTAGCCTGAATTCCACTTTATTCTATTGCCAGTTATTTATTTATTCATTTTCTTGTATTATATTTTATCTTAAAGATTTGTACTAAGTGCTGCAAGTGATGGAACTCTATTTGTCTGTGAATTAATGACAGAAGAATTACAAGATAAAGAAATGAAAGAATATCGTGCAAGAATTCCATCAACATTTGTAAGTTTTAATCTGAATTAAATAAAAAATCGATATTTGTAACGGCAGAAGACAAGGGCCAGGCAACAGATAGTTTAAATAAAGTATAATTATATTTCAATAGTTTACACACAATGATAAATTTTGTAATTGGTCATTTTGCTCGAAATATTACCAATAACAAAACTTATCATTGTGTGTAAACTATTGAAATATAATTATACTTTATTTGATCTAATCAACAATGCTCAAACTTTTTGCTGATGTTAACAGATAGTTTATCCAGAAAATCAACAGATATTTATAGATTTTTATGTACTTTATTGTCAGCGGAGAAGCAGCGTCTTCTGATTGGTTGTTTTCTTGCTGAAGGTTATTCTGTCATCGCTTTGTGGCTGTTTCTCTGAAGGTCAGGCCAAATATCTGCGAATTCTATCCGCCCAGGCTAAGTCTGCTGTGATTGGTTGTTGAGTTCCTCAAGGTTAGGCTTTGTTATTGTCTTTCTTCTCAAAACCCCAATTTGGGACGTAAACAGTGACGCAAATTGTTGTCTACAATTTTAGCTAGTAGACAGCTCTCACTATATATTTAGTTGTTTTTCTTCTGTTTCGAGGATAATTTGTCGACTGTTAAAAAGTGAAAGGTTATGTCGATAACTGGAGATGTGGTTCATTGACTTGAACACTGGATTTTAAGACAGTGGGTCCTGGTTTTGAATTTCACTCGATATACATCAGCCTGGAGGAGGCAATTAACTGGTACGATCAGCCATCACAAATAAGTGTACACCGGAGGACCGGGTAACTGGAAGTTAACTATGCTGATGACTCAATATAATACACACGTACATGAGCTAAACTTTGGCCAAATCTACATTAGATCAACAAGATGTTGCATCATTCATGACCGCGGGTTGATATGATTTAGAGAACTTTTGAAAACGGGCGTGAAATACTGGAAAGTTATTTCGTCCTAGTTGGATACTCATTGGCAGTATGCACACACCAAATGGGGTTCGGACCCAGGACCTTTCGGTTATAAGGAAAGCCTGTAGGCTATTCAGCCACTCTAGTTCGACTCAGTGGCCAGTCCATGGATGAACTTCTAGATCTACCGATTGGCGATTTTAACACGACCACCAGGCAGTGTCGTCAGCCAGTATTTATCCACACTTTCAGCCGGATGAACCTCAACTGTCACAAATTCTCATCAGAACTCCAGTCAACTTCGTTCTCTAGCCAGTCACTAGTGAGCAGTCAAACTTACAACGAATCAAATCCCTACAAGTTAATACACTTGAAAATTAATCTGTACTCGCGGATGACTGGTTAAAGGACAGATTTTCCTGGAGTTCTAGTGAGAAGTTGAGACCAGTGTGGTCCACCAGGACTGGAATGATGACAGATAATCACCGATGATATTAGCTGTCAATGAGAATTTGATTCAAGATAAACCTTATAAGTGTCATTATTAAATAATGATGATATTTTGAGACAACATCTGTCAGTGAAAATGTTTTCTGTGTCTTCATAGTGGAAAAATCGTAGTTTTTGAGTGAAATCTGATTTAGGGTTTTGAAAAGTGTTCACCATCTGAGATATTTTAAACTTCTGGTGGTCTACAGTTTAAAATGGCAGGTCAGCTTATGGTTAAAAATTTCATATATCCAAGCCTGTTCCACTTCGGATAAGTTAGTAAGAATAAGCAACAAGAAACTCTGGCTGGCGACGAACCAACAGACGAGTGGCGATTGCTCAAAAAATATGTAGGAGATAGTGGACATGGATAGAATGAGCATACGCCTCTGAGGAGGCCTTCGAATGACATCCCAATAGGAAGCGGCGACTAGTGAGTCGTCGGTGAGGGTGACATGCAGGAGATCGGGTGGCGGAGAGGAGAAAATAAGAGATTATGGGCAATGTTGTGCCTAAACAGCTGAAGAGGACATCAGCAAATAGAACGAAGTGGAGATGCGTTACTGAAGACGTATTTTCCACTCGGAACCCAAGGGAAAAATATTATTCATAATAATAATATTATTATTAATGCAATCACATGGCTTCATAATTTGCTTTATGTATTTTTTTCTCTCCCTCCTTGTTAGGTTTTGCAATTTTCTATATGCCTCGTTCAGACATTGTGGCATTTCTGCATAAATCTGTATACTACTAATTGATTGTGATGAGTAGTTTAATAGCATTCATATTAAACAATGGTGCTTGCCTGCCGGTAAGAGGCGATTTAAACACCGGAAGACCGTTTCAGTAAATTCTGACTAACTTGATCAGAGGTGCTCCCCGTTTCATTCAGTTCAGAGAGCTCAAAGTATTTTGCTTCTAGACTATTTGACTTAGCAGGGTCAATCATTCGAGTTCTAGCTGAATTCCTATGTTCCGATAATCTGCTTGACCCTGATCTACCGACTTGACCTATGCATGTTTTATCATTATGAATATCTACTTTATTCCCTATATGTTCCAAATGGAACATAGAGCTTCGATCTAGAGACTTGAAGTTTCAGTAGCAGTGGTTTTTATTTTTAACGCCATAGGATTGCTAGCCTGACAGCCAGCTTTCCCTCTTTACCGGCCTAGCTGCCAGCTTAGTGAGGCTTAGGAGTGCATCGGCGGCTGAGGATCTCTCCCCAGACCACATGAGAGATTGTACCGTTGAACCACCCACGAATAGTTACTACATCATACTTGTTAAATTATATGGGTTGGCGGTCCACTGGTAGAAAACTGGCCAACCACACACGTGGTATGCAGTTCGGTCCCCGATGGATGCACTCCTAAACCTCGCTTAGTCGGCGGTAAGCCTGATAAACAGTGAAGGTTGGGCACCAGACTAGCAGTGCTTGAATACATTGATATGATTATGAGCAGTAATAAGTTGTGCTCGAAACGTCTTCACCCAATTATTAATACACATTGTATCACTATGTATTATATACCAAAATGGAACTACAGAAGACAAGGGCCAGGTGACAGATTGTTTATTGATAAAATCAACAGATATTTTTAGGTTTTTATGAACATCATTGTCAGCGGAGAAGCAACGACTTCTGATTGGTTGTTTTCGTGTTCAGCAAAGAGTCTCTTTTCGGCGAATTTATTTTCATTGCTGTACAATCGCAAATATATACATGGTTGTTTTGTGTGTGTGTGTGTGTGTACATTAAACTTGTCAAGCGAAATTACAATTAGAAAGTTCAGATGGATTGGATGTTTATATAAGAGGGTAGTATAACAAAAGTGATGAGTTGTCACAAATGATCGTTAAAGAAGAGTTACGTGATGGCGTGAATAGGCTGATGAAAGAGTTGTGCTCAGGGTGTACATGGAAACAAAATAATATACGGATTTAGGCAAGGGTTTTAAGTAGAAAAATAATCATACAAACGAAAGTTAAGTCAGATCAACGGAGTTCTTACCATGAGAGTAGAAGTGGTTGAATAATTTTCTTTTGTGTGTACAGTTCTGGTTTCTCCAACTGAATGACTAGGGCTTCTGCGATGCAAAGAAGACGGAATCTTACTGTCTTTGAAAGGTTGTTCTTCACTTTGTAGATTACTTTGAAGGAGGCATTTTTTGAGATGGAATGACCAGTGTTGACGAGATGTCCGATTATTGCACTCCTTATACGGCCATTACTTCCTTTCTGCAGCCACGCTGGATAGTGTTCTTTGACCCTGTTTGACAGGATACGCGTTGAAAGACCGATGTACCTGGCTCCACAGCAACAGGTGAACTGATATATATATATATATATACATGGAAGTGGTCAGGTGCGAGATCTTGTCCTTTAGGTTCCCGCAGATCAGCGGGCGACTGGAGAACACTACTCTCAATGTTGCCGCAAGGAAAGTTCTTCTTAAAGAGGTGGAAATTTTCCTTCTAAGGACGTCACTGAGTAGGTCACCTTTGAAGTCAAGGTTCACATAAAGTATCTTTTTGACACGGATGCTGTCTCTTGCTTTTGAATTTTTTGTTTGATGTTTTTGTCTACGAATCTTGATGGACAACCGTTTTGTATTAAGATTTCTTCCAGGAAGTGTAGTTCTTCTTCCAGGCTATCAGAGGTGCAGATGCGTCGGACGCGAATGGCAAGAGATCGAATTAGGTTTCATTTCCGACTGATTGATACCCAGCTGTAGAAGCTTGTCAGTTGACTGTTCCATGTGGGTTTCCTATGGATGGGCCTTCTTAAAGTTCCGTCAGCTCTCCTTGTAAGTTCAACATCAAGAAAAGGAATTTTAGATTCGTTTTCAATTTCGAGAGTGAACTTTGTGGTTAGATGCCATATATCTAAGAGTCGTGTGTGCACGCATTAGGTTTGCTGTGATTGGTTGTTGAGTTCCTCAAGGTTAAGCTTTGTTATTGTGTTTTTTTCTCGTGACTACGATTCGGGACGTAAACACTGACGTCGATTGTTGGTTACAATTTTTGGCTTGCTGACAGCTCTCGCCACAAAGTAAACTTGTCTACTATAGAATCGTATTCTAAGATAATGTCCAAATTCTACGCTTACATTAGGAGCATTCTTAGACAGTATAATATATATTCCTAAGAATACTACTCTAAAATATTGATTAATGTTGACTCTGAACGTTTTTGTTTTGTTTTCTTATTTTTTCACAGGATACCAGTGTAAAAGTTGACGATATTACTGATCCTAAAGCATACAGTATTGAAGAATATAAACAGAAATCAGAATATGATCGTCTAATTGAACAGGCAGAGCAGAAGAAAGCAGAAACCAGACTAAAAGTTGCTGAATTAAGAAGACGTTTTAAAAAACTCAAGGATCGTAATGAACGTCTACCAGAAAGAATTCGTCTTCCTACTTCGGTACTTTTGTCTTGAATATTTATTGTTTTTTTTCCTTTAAAAACTTCTATTGTTTGCATTTAAACAAGTCAGGAGATGACTCTTAAACATCTGAATCATAACCCGGAATAATTCAGTGAAGAAGTTCAACTATAGCAACCGCGTTGATAGACTTTACCGTTGACCTTGGGCAATCAGCCAGGCTCAAATTATTATTATTATTGTCTCTTTTAGTTCGTAGAGGAATATAGGGCTTCAGCCGCATGTCTACATTGATTTCGGTTTTCAGCTAACGTTTTTGCCTGGCTTCACATCTGCTAGTTCAATACTCGAAAACTGAAGGATCAAGGTACAAAAGACATCTTCACTGCAAACATAAGGAAAAAGGCGGAGACACTAATCAACACTAGCGAAGTGACCAGCGTTGAAAAACACTGGAACAACCTGAAAGTGGTGTGGAGTCAAACCTGCATGGATGTTCTAGGCAGAAAGAAGAGATATGGAAGATATTATTACCACCAGGCAGTCAAATCAGTGGATAATAAATAAAATTAAAACGTATTTCAATTAAAATTATAACATTCTAACAGGATATTTATTTATTTTACAATAAAAGCATCTTATTTCCCATGTTACTGACTAATAACAGTCTTCTTATTCCCCATCCTGTGTTATTTTACTGATAACAGTAGTATGATTTCAGAATGTGCTTTATCTTCCTCTTTGTTTCACGCAAGTCTTATATTGATTTTATCCAGATGTCTAATCATCAATTTTTACTCATGTATATAAATGAAGCAAGAAAGTGAGTAGTGCCTTGATATGATTATGAGTGGCAGTAATAAATTGTGCTCGAAATGTGGTCATCAGTAGATGTTACCGTAAAATGCACTGTGTGACTATCAGTTGTACTCTACCACCACAGTGCCCAAGTTTTATACTTATATCAAAGTCAGCATTAGCCTTCTGAAAATACTTTTCATGGCACATTAACTTCACATTAGGGATAAAAATCCGAATCTTGTTACTGTTATGCTGAGTGCAGCAGATTTTCACACTAACTTCTGAGGAATGCATGTCTGTCTCACTTGTCCAACGCTGATTGGCTTTGAAATCCTCTTCCGTGCCTCTGACTGTAGTTAAAACGATGCTAGCAGGTCAAGTATGTGAGAAAGTCGAATTTCCTGTACATTTCTCCCGTTGGTGATGATTGATGGTTGTTAATATTATTGGTTAGGGATCTTCTATGCTCATTTGAAGTCCTGTTTTCACCGCTTTCCCTCTTAGCTTGTTGATTTTCTCCCGCTGATTCTCTAGCTCCTTCGACATTAGAAATAAATCGGTCGTGAAGTCAAAATCTTCTAGTCTTTGTGTCTGTCCAACGTACAATCTACTTGTCATTCCTAACACCCCGTTGCATCATCCAGTCCACCACTATCAGGAATATCATCGGCGGCAGTCAACACTCTTGTCCTACTCCTGTGTCCACTCCAAAGGTTTCTCTCAGCCTTGTCCTGTGACGTTAAATCTAAAACTAAGCGGAAAGTATCTGTTATCCTTCTTTCACATCACGTGATCTCACTCTTTTATTTTAGCCTAACAAAATGTAACCACTTATTTCATTGAATGCTTGTCTTTTTTAGGAGTTTAACTTAGTTCCTCAAATTCGCAATGATTTACTCAAAGATCGCAAAGCTGCAGTCGACTTAGTCTATCGAGAAACGGCATGGGAGACAGAGAAAAATCGACTGGCACTTGAAAAATTGGAGACTGCGTAAGTAAAGAAAATTATATAATTAATTAATGAATTGCTTTCCCTCTGACCGATTAACTTTGGAGCGAAATTTCCACTCTCTTTTGAGATATCGGCTCCAAGTGTGGACAGTTTAATCATGTTTAAGGAACAACATGAAGTTATTTTGGTCGATCGTGATTATTAGTGAAGTTGAGGATGTGCAGTTCGTTTCATCTGAGACTCAGAGGTCAGATGTACCTTCAAATCTCAATGAGTGTTGGTGTTCCTACTGAGATCCAAAACGCAACACCCAGAAACATCCAGTTAACAAGTTCCCCGATTAGAAAGAAGTGAGCAAAATGGGCTTCATTGTTAGTCACCATGTACTAAGTTATGTACTGTTAGATTTTAAGGCATCTCACTGACACGAAAGGAAAGCCTTATAAAGTGTTAA